AGACACAGAATCCGAAGCAGGCTCCAGGCTCTGAGCCATCAGCACAGAGCCCTATGCAGGGCTCAAACTCACAAACTGTGAGATCATAACCTGAGCCAAAGTTGGACGCTTAAGCGACTGAGCCACTCAGGCGCCCCTAAAAGCATTTTATTTCAGTCTCACAATGACTTTTTAGGATAAAGATTTTATCCCCATATTATGGATAAGGAAATGTGCTCAAAACGGTTAAGTACATTATCTAATACCATAGTGTATTATTGCCTTATGATCCCTCCAAAGATATGTCCATTCAGAACCTGAGAATATGACTTTATTTAGAATAGAGTCTTTTCGTATGTCATTAGGGTAAGGATCTTGAGATGAGATCAGTCTGCATGAGGGTGGGCCCTAAACCCATTAAGAACCCTTACAAGAGAAGGGGAAAGAGACAGACACGCAGAGAAGAGGAGGCCATGTGAAGACTGAGGCAGGGACTGGAGTTAGAAAGCGGCAAGCTGAGGACGGCCGGTGGTTGCGGGCAGCTACCAGGAGCCAGGGGAGGGGCAGAAATGGATTCTCCCTCAGAGCCTCCGGAGGGAACCAACCTTACTGATTTGGACTTGATTTTGGACTTTTGGTCTTTAGAAGTGTGAGAGAATCAATTTCTGCTGTTTTAGGCCTCCCTCCCAGTTTGTAAAATGTGCAATGGTGGCCATGGGAAACTAATACAATCATTGAGCTACTCCAAGAGTGGCACCTGTGTTCAGCCCGGGGCCTGACTTCAGAGCCCTTGCCATTCTCCACAACACCGCACGGCCCTGGCCTGGTATAATCCAGCCTCCTTCTAGCTTCTGTCTCTTTACCCTCCCGTGTGCTCTAGGCAAGTTCAACTTCTTGGTGTTCTCCGTATATGTTGTTCTGTTCATGGCTTTGTGCCATTGTAACTGCTATCCCGTTGACTTGACATGCTGTTATGGACTGAATGTGTCCTCCCCACACCAGGTTCATATGTTGAAGCCCTAACCCCCAGCATGGTGGTATTTGGAGGTGGGAGTATTTGGAGGTAATTAGGTTTAGATGAGGTCATGAGGATGGAGCTTCCTCTATCCACCAAGTGAACACACAGTAAGGAAGCAGCCATCTGCAAGCCAGGAAGAGAGCCCTCACCAAGAACTAAATCTGCTGGCAGATTTAGTTGATCTTGATCTTGGACGTCTAGCCTCCAGAACCTTGAGAAATAAGCGTGTGTTGTGTAGGTCCCAGGTCTGCGGTATTTTGTTCTAGCAGCCTGGGCTGACTAAGGCACATATTCCTTTCCCCTCTCCTCTTTGCCTGGCAAACTCTTACTGAACTTTTATATCCAGCTCAAATGCCTCCATCTCTGAATTTTTTTCTAGACTCACCTCTGCTCCTCAGGTACATTTAGTAGATTATCTCCTTAGCAGGGCAAGGTGTCCTCAATGTATTACTTCTTGGCAGATGAGGACTTTATCTTTTCTATCTTTGTGTCTTAAGTGCCTAATAAAAGCATAATAAGTATTTGATGAATGAATGAATGAGTGACCTGTGTTGCTGTACTGTGGAATAGGTTGTAGATCCTCCAACCACACAATTCCCAACAGATTATGAAACAAGTTACAGAATACAATTGAATGTTGATTTAAAAGGAGGCCCAAATGAGAGTAAGAAAATAAAAGAGTGTGGGTGCCCTTAGCACCCAAATATGTTGCTCATTAACCAGTCAAATCTTGGTGTAGTTTTCTTGATGAAATTTGTCTAAGTGTTTCCCTAGTTTGTGGAAGTTCTTCACAAAATTGACAAGAGAGTTGGCTTTGCCAGGAACCAGGCCTGGCCTTTGAGAGGCACCAGAACCGACACTGTCGATGGCCTACCCAATCACCATTCATCCTTCTTCCTTGCTGGCAGATTCCTAATGTTATCCAGGTACGTGTCCCTCACTGTGTGGCTCAGTGGTAAATCATGAGTGATTGAAACTGTCCACAATGGTATCATTTCTATTGCCAGTGATTGGTTTGGAAGTGGGCATGTGACCCTGCCTTGGTCAAAGGACATAATGGGCATTCTTCTGGGAAGATTTGGGAAAGAATTTTGTACTCCCAAAAAGAAAGGCATAGGAGAAAACTGTTCCTCTTCTTCTATAGTACATTGTCATATCTACAAATGATGCCGGACTGTGGTGCCATCTTGCAGCCATGGGGAATGTTACCTTAATGATGGCAAAGCTGATATGCTAAGGGTGGCAGGGCAGAAGATGGAAAGTCACATGAACCTTAAAGATGGAACTGAGCCATTGAATAACTAACCTTAAACCTGTTCTGTCCAAAGAGTGGGTAGAGGTCCTATACAAAAACTTGTTATAAAGGTAATACATATCTCTACCATTTAAGCCATTTTGAATTGAGTTTGGGATTATTAAGACAGAAATCACCCCTTGGGGCGCCTGGGTAGCTCAGTCGGTTAAGTGTCCGACTTCAGCTCAGGTCACGATCTCACGATCTTGCGATCTAGCGGTCCGTGAGTTCGAGCCCCGCGTTGGGCTCTCTGGACTGATGGCTCAGAGCCTGGAGCTTGCTTCCGATTCTGTGTCTCCCTCTCTCTCTGCTCCTCCCCCGTTCATGCTCTGTCTCTCTCTGTGTCTCAAAAGTAAATAAACGTTTAAAAAAAAAAACATTTAAAGAAATCACCCCACAACTATCATATAACCCAACTGCCAAAAATGTTGCTGGCCCCACCCTGGGAGAGATATCTGAGAACGCCATCATTTTCAGTGTATTAAAGACAATTTCTGCATAAAACTACAAAATTTACCCTTGAGAGGGATAAATCACCAAGCTTTTAACACCTTTGAAATTATTCATTTATTCCTAAGCATTCCTTTCTCCAAGCATTTACTTAGTGTCTTTTCTATGCCAGTCACTCTGCTATACTCTGGGATAAAAATATAATGAACAATAAGTTTCAACTTATAGCTAACATCTAAATCCTTCACATCTTTCTCTTTAAAGCTATTTAAATGTGCAGCTGACCTTTGAACAGCATGGGGGGTTAGGAGCACCAACCTCCACACCGTTAAAAATCTGAGTATGATTTTTGACTCCCCCCAAAGTTAGCTACTCACAGCCTCCTTTTGACCAGAAGCCTTAGCGATAACATAAAGGTTTGATTAACACATATTTTATGTTATATGTATTAATGCTGTATTCTTATAGTAAAGTAAACCAGAGAAAAGAAAATGCTTTCAAGAAAATCATAAAGGAGAGAAAGAAAGTACATTTACAATACTGTTCTGTATATATTCACAAAAGTCCATTTGTAAGTGGACCCATGAAGTTCAGAACCGTGTTACTCAAGGGTCAACTGTATTATTATTTTAAAAAAAATTTTTTAATGTTTATTTATTTTTGAGAGAAGAGAGAAAGAAAGCATGAGCAGGGGAGGGGCAGAGAGAGTGAGACAGAATCTGAAGTAGGCTCCAGGCTCTGAGCTGTCCATAGAGTCCAACAAGGGGCTTGAACCCACGAAGTGCGAGATCATGACCTGAGCTGAAGCAGACGCTTAACCAACTCAGTCACCCAGGTGCCCCTGTAAATTATTATTTTTAAACAATGTTTATTTATTAAAAAAATTTTTTTAACATTTATTTATTATTGAAAGACAGAGAGATGCAGAGCATGAGCAGGGGAGGGGCAGAGAGAAGGGGAGACACAGAATCGGAAGCAGGCTCCAGGCTCTGAGCTGTCAGCACAGAGCCCGACGCGGGGCTTGAACTCACAAACTGCAAGATCATGACCTGAACCGAAGTTGGTCGCCCAACCAACTGAGCCACCCAGGCACCCCAGACAATGTTTATTTATTTATATTTAGACAGAGAGAGAGAGAGAGTGTGTGTGTGAGCACGTGGGGGAGGGGCAGAGAGACAGGGAGAGAGAATCCCAAGCAGACTCCGCACTGTCAGTGCAGAGCCCCACGCGGGGCTGGATCCCATGAACCGGGAGATCATGACCTGAGCCGAAATCAAGAGGTGGACGCTTAAGCAACTGAGCCACCCAGGCGCCCAAAATTATTTTTGCTTAAAGGCGTATTTGAACTTAGACTTCATTAAAACAAAAAACAAAAAACAGACCACCTAACTCCCGCTTACGGCTACATTCATACGAAATTACGAACAAGATGGTCTCCAGCTCCATCCAGGTTAGTGTCTGTGACTTGTGGAGCAGCTCTTGTTGAGAAGCAAGGAAATGCGGCCCCTGAGAGACGTGCCCCTGCCCTAGGAAAGTGCGAGAAGGGGGCGCGGGCCGAAGCTGAGCCAGGCAGGGAGACGGGAGACGTGCTCACCGCCCCAAGAAGTGACAGCGCAGGAAGGAGAGAGCAGAGGGCTGCCAGCCAGCAGAAAGACTGAGTCAATGCTAGCACCTCCTAAAAATAGCAGAGCAGGGCTATAAGCTTTCCTGTCCAAACAGATTTAAAACTGACAGGTAGTGTGGGCTCTGTGGGGCTGTTAATGAAGGGAAGGGCTAGAGTCATCTTGACCAGAAAGCCTTGCACTGGAGGCTCTGGGTCATCGCTCAGCGGTGAGGAAAGTGGTCGCTTGCCTCCCCCTGGTCGGGGCTGGTTGCACATAAAGCCAGAGGCATCCTAGAGGAGGGGTGAGAGACAGACCTGCTGAAACCCACGCTGAACCTATTTCACCAAGATGGGTTTTAATCAAATGAAAAAATTTAAATTAAAATAAAAGCTCTAGGGGCGCCCGGGTGGCTCAGTTGGTTGAGTGGCCGACTTTGGCTTGGGTCATGATCTCGTGGTCCATGGGCTCAAGCCCCGCATCGGGCTCTGTGCTGGCAGCGCGGAGCCTGGAGCCTGCTTTGGATTCTGTGTCTCCCTCTCTCTCTGCCCCTGCCCTGCTTGTGCTCTATTTCTCTCTGTCTCTCAAAAATAAAGAGAAGTTTAAAAAAAATCATAAAAACTCTAATAAAAACAAAAAGGGCTAAGCCCTTGATCTGGTTTTGAAAAAGCTTAGCATGTATTCCACTGAAGAGAACATTTTCAGAGAGGTGCCTGGCACCCCCCACGTGGCACAGCAAGGTTGTAAAAAGGACGGCAAAGCGGGTAGCTGACTTCCTTCTGCCCGCGCCTGTGCAGTAAACAGCATCTTTTTTAAGAGCACAAGAGGGAAAACAATGCCAGCATGAATTATTTAACAGCTATAAACGTTACTATCTGTAAAAACACATGAATATGCTTACCCAAAAACCTGTGCGTGTCTAATTTGAGTGCAAATCCACATGACAGCTTCATGTGCGAGGCCTGAGAACTTTGTGGAACGAATCCTAGAGAGCATTACTTAATTTGGACCACTGTCTTCCGGTAGTTTTTATTTTGTGCCTTCTTGCCAGTTTTCCCTTGACAGTCTCTTCCTTTTCCAAACCATCTTTTATTCCAAATCAATCCTCTGAGAGAACGGAGCTGGTCAGGACCTGTCATTTGTCCAAATGAAGCCTCAACAGCTATAAAGCCCAAACGTAGCAATTCTAGCTCGGCATTCAAGGCCTTCTGTGATCTGGCCCTTTTCTACCTTTCTTGCCTTGCCACGACTTCTCTTTCTACACCCTTCTGCTGTCCACCTGCATTCACCATTCCCACACGCTTGCTGGACTGCCCCGCCTCCACGTCTCTGCTCCTGCTGCTCCCTCTCTGCTGGCTGCCCCTTCCTCATTCTGGGCAAATACTCTTCCCCCTCTTCCTTCTCAGGGGCATCCTACTGCACGGAGCCTTTTCTGGTCTCCTTTTTTGAAGCAGACATTATGAATGCTGCTGAGTAAACTTCCGCAAGAAGCTTGACCTGGAAGAAAGAAGATAAGGTGGCAGCTAGAGGGAATGAAGAACCCAGAAGGGTTGTCATTTGTTTATGATTTAAGATGGGAGCGGCCTTGCCTGTTGACAGGGAAGAGTCAGGAGAGACGGGGAAGGAGCAGAGTGGGGTGTATGGGATGGGCTCCAGGGCAAGGGGAGGGGCTAGCCCTGCACAGGAGGCAGCGACCTCTCCTCTACAATCTCCACTGTACTTTTGGATCATGTATGCTCTGATCTAATTGGGGAGGGGGGGGTGCTGGGAAGGCCACTCTGCCTACAAAATACCATCTTTCTTACTCCTTAGTGAAATCTGAAATACCATCTTTCTGACTTATTCCTTTGACCCATGGCTTTGACCATCAATCCAAGGTGTGTGTGTGTGTGTGTGTGTGTGTGTGCGCGCGCACACACGCATGCATGCATGTGTCTGTGTGTGTACATGTGTGCATCTGTGTGCGTGTCTGCACATGCCTGCATGTGTCTCTGTGTGTGTATTCACGCATGCATCTGTGTGTGCATGTGTGTATGTGTGTGTGCGTGTGTGCACATGCATGTATACACGCATGCACCTGCATGTGCACACATGCACGCGTGCATCTGTGTGTGCATGTGTGTACATGCCTGTGTGTATCTGTGTGCATGCATGCATGCATCTGTGTGCACATGCATGTATGCACCTGTGTGTGCACATGTGTATGCATCTGTGTGTGCATGTGTGCACATGCATGCATGTGTCTGTGTGTGCGTGTGTAGAGATGGCTGTTAGTGGAGTACCTCTCCCTCTTTTGCTTCTACAGAGACCCCCCTGGAGAGCTCTTCTGGCTTCAGTAACTTTCTTCTGGTGAAATGGGGAACAGGAACTGAGCCCCATCTGCTTGGCCCTCTCACTCTGTTCTCATTTGCTAGCTGAGTGAGCGATAGTGTGCATTTTGTTCTCTTACTTCCATATCCCCAGGGCAGGCTCTGCACCTGGAGGGGGGACATTTGGCCACCCCCCCATGCCTGGGGCTAGGTGAAAGGGCTCAAGTCCAGAGTGAAGCATTATCACAGACTGTGGCCAAATGTCTGAGCCCCAAGCTCTGACTCACTCCATCCCGGGTGACCTGTGCGCCCCACCTGCCTGCTTCCAGGGTCCGCTTCCTAGGTGGCTCAGAAGCGGGAGCAGGCAGTGGCGGAATTGATGGCTTCAAGACTTCAGCAGTAACGTGTCCATCTCTCCAGCTTCAGGTGGATCACTCTCTGGGATCTGGTCCTAAGAAGAAGAGAAGGTGAGAGGCCCAGACACTGGGAGAAGGGAAGGGAGGGTGCCTTAAAAGACCAAGGGGGACAGATAAACCTCAGCTTTACAGACCTGGGCCTCACTCTGCTCTGACTTGGTAAATATAATCGCGGAAGCTTATACTCAATGTTTCTTATTTTAAGATATGAAAATGGGTCAGCAGTATGCAAATCAAGCTGACCTGAGTCTTTCCTAGTTGGGCTGCAGGCTGCAGGGTCCCCCTGGGTGTCGCCCTGTTGTGGGCCTGCTGGCTACCTTCCTGCCTCCCAGGCTAGCGACACAACTCTGGATTTGAACAGACATATCTTCTGGCAAAGGCCTAGTCTCTCTCCTGCTTTGCTTTCTCCTGACTCACACCCTGTGGTCTGGCACTAACTTGACCCCTACCCAAGCAGGGGGTCAGGCTACTGAGTCTATCATTCCTCCAGCAATGACTGATAGGCTGGGCAGGTCCGATTGCACAGAGCCTACGTGCCAGGCCCTAGGGTCACGTGCGTGGGTACAAACTTGGCAGTATCCTTTATCGGCTGTGGAACCTCAGGCAAGTTATGAACCTAGTCTCAGTTTTCCCATCTGTAAAATGGACATAATAATCATATTTACATCATAGAACAGTTGTGATGATTACATGAGATAAGGAGCTTGAGACCCAACCAAGAAATATCCTGGATGCTAAGGACTTTAGAATCGAATCTAAAAACAGTAAAACCATAGGAGATTTTGAGGAAGTGCAAAGTCTAAACCGTGGTTCTGGAAGACAATTCTAATGACGGCATGAAGGGGACTTGGAGAGCCTTGGAATGAATCCCACAAATCTCAGGCATCTCTTGTTCCCGACCAGCCTTCCTGGAACAATGGGTCTGTCCTGCTAATGTAGATTAGGTAACGTGGAATAAAGGTGGGGAAGATCTCAGGCAGATAGATGAGTTCCTTCTAGAGCTTTTTCTTGCATCAAAAGATTTCAAGGACCTCTTTCCTCTCAGAAAAAAAGCACCTTTTCACAGACTTTTTTAAAATTTTTTTTAACGTTTATTTATTTTTGAGACAGAGAGAGACAGAGCCTGAACGAGGGAGGGGCAGAGAGAGAGGGAGACACAGAATCGGAAGCAGGCTCCAGGCTCCGAGCCATCAGCCCAGAGCCCGACGCGGGGCTCGAACTCACGGACCGCGAGACCGTGACCTGAGCTGAAGTCGGACACTTAACCGACTGAGCCACCCAGGTGCCCCAATTCACGGACTTTTAAGATGCTTTACAATCTCCAGATTTAACCTGTTAGTGACATTTCATGCAGCATCAAGATTAGAAACATCTGGGGAAGATTTGTTTAGGAGAAATGAAAGAAATGAACTAATATGGATCCTTGCTATAGGCAGCATTGCCTGGCCATCCTATCGGGAGCCTACTGTGATAGATGGAACAATGGCCCCCAAACTGTCATTATCCTAATCTCTAGAAACTGTGAGTGTGTTACCTTACATGGCAAAAGGGACTTTGCAAATATGACTTAGGACATTGAGACGGGGAGATTATCCAGGTGGGTCTAACCTTCCCATGGGTCCCTAAAATTGGACTTTCCAGGCTCTGTTACGGAGAGATGTGGCTATGGAAGAAAGACCAGAGAGATGTAATATTGCTGGCTTTGAAGATGGAGGAAGGGGGCCATGAGCCAAGGAATGTGGGTGGTCTCTAGAAGCCAGAAAAGGTAAGGAAATAGATTCTCTCCTAGTCTCCAGAAAAGAACGAAGCCCTGCCAAAGCCATGACTTCCACCCGATGAAACCCATTTTGGACTTCTGACCCCCAGAACTGTAAGATGATATGCATTTGTACTATTTAGACACTAAATTTGTTATGGGAGCTATAGGGAAGGAATCCATATACTATGGGCCGGTTTGATGCTAAGCACATGAGAATCAGCAGTTTAAAAAGCCAAAACAAAACAGGGTTTTTTTGTTTTGTTTTGTTTTGTTTTGTTTTGTTTTGTTTTGTTTTGTTTTTGTTTTTGCCAACGGAACTCACATTCCATGGGGACGAAACAAGACTCAGGAACGAACAGTTATACACTGTCATTTCAGGCAGAATGTGCCATGAAGAAAGACAAAGCAGGGTGAAGAGGTGGATGAGAACACATCGTCTGCCCCTGAGAGACTCCGCAGAGTGGGAGACAGATGAGCAGACCGTCCTCACAGCGGTTCTCGAGGGGCCGCCCCTGCCTGGGAATGAGAGAGGACCTCACAGAGCACATGGCATGGGAAGGGGGTCTTTGAGGATGGGTATCTGGTGGACAACAGGAGGGAAGAGAGATCCAGGCAGAGGGAACGGCATATGCAAAGCGGTGAGGGCATGAGAGCGTGCTCGGAACCGTGAGAGCTCCACGCAGCTGGAGAGCAGCAGCGCAGGCCTGGGTAACGGCGTGGACCTTGGGCGTCTCCAGCATTCCTGGACACAGAGAGAACGAGCCCTCCACGAGCTCTGGAGGCACGATCCTATGTCCGTTTCCTTACAGTCTTGTCTTGTACCCCAGAACGGATACAAATTCATGTGTTCCGCTCCCCAATCAATCCCTGATGGTTTCGCGATAAAAATCGTGATTAAAATCCCTCGACTTCCCTCCAAGGGGGAAAAAAAAAAAACATCACTTCAAGTACAATTGAAGTCTGGGAATAACTATGAGGTGGATTTTGCCACCCCCTGGCATGTCTCCAGGTTATTGAAGAAGCTCTGCAAATGGAAAAGAGGATCCAACAGAATTGTTATTGTTTGTATTTTTAAATTAAAAAAAATTTTTTTAATGTTTATTTTTGAGACAGAAAGAGACAGAGGATGAACGGGGGACAGGCAGAGAGAGAGGAGGACACAGAATCCTTAGCAGGCTCCAGGCTAGGAGCTGTCAGCACAGAGCCAGACATGGGGCTCGAACTCACAAACCGGGAGATCATGCATGACCTGAGCTGAAGTTGGATGCTTAACCTACTGAGCCTCTCAGGTGCCTCAGAATTGTTATTAAAAAATTTTTTTTAACGTTTATTTATTTTGAGAGAGGGAGAGGGAGGGGCAGAGACACAAAATCTTCAGATTGAAGCAGGCTCCAAGTTCTGAGTTGTCAGCACAGAGCCCGATCCGGGGCTTGAACTCACAAACCACAAGATCATGACCTGAGCCAAAGTCAGATGCTTAACCAGCTGAGCCACCCAGGCTCCCCAGAACTGTTATTTTAATTCAACAAGGTTTATTCATAACCTACCAGGGGCTGGCATTCCAGGTATACAAGTAAACCAAGGCCTTGACCCTGGGCTCAAAGTCCAATGAAGTGGGGCAACAGTCATGTAAAATTACAACAAATCCTAGTAGGTGTTAAATACAGGTATAGAAAGTATACTATTGGATCCTGTCTTAGGTTTCTGTGGGTGTCATAACAAATGACCGCACCCTGGGTGGTTGAAAACAACAGAATTTATTCTCTTGCCATTCTGGAGGCCAGAGGTCCGGAATCAATTGGTCAGCAGGCCTGCACGTCCTCTGGAGTCTCAAGGGGAGAACACCTCCTTGCCTCTTCCAGCTTTTGGTGGCTCCAGGCACTCCCCGGCTTGCGGCCCCTTCCCCTCAACCTCTGCCTCCATCTACACGTCATCTCCTCCTCTGTGCCTGTCTCACCTGAGGACACTTATCATTGGATTTAGGGCCATCCAAGCAATCCAGCATGGTGTCATCTCAAGATCCATAACCCAATTACATCTGCAAAGACTTTTTTTTTCCAAGTAAGGTCACATTCACAGGTTCCAGGGATTTGGACACGGATGTACCTTTTTGGGGGCCACCATTCAACCGAAGTAAAAAATGACTGGCGTTCCTTTAGTGCAACTTGAAAGGCAAGGTGATAGCTGAGCACTTCATAAGTACTATCTTATTTAATCCTAGCGTGTGGCAAGGTGGGCAGTCCTCTTAGCTGGGGCAGGGACAGCTAGCGACCGGATTCTCAAAGGAGATGGGGACAAGATCAGATTTGGATTTGGAACAATCGCCCTGGTTTTGGGGGTAGAGAATGGGCCGGGGGTTGAGAAGGGCCGAGGCAAGGGTGATTCCTGAGATGGAGGTGGGGACTGGGGGGAAGCAGACATGGGGACAGTAGATTGTTTTCATCTGCAGTGAGGGCTTTTCACCAGCACTCCTTTAGCCCCTCCAGCCTGACCCCCCAGGGGTCTCAGCCTCGCTCTTGAGGGTGTTGTGGCTTCCCACCTGTGAGAGGGACAGTGAAGGTCCGGGCCCCATCTCCTCCCCACCCGGGCCTTCTCTAGCCATCTTTTGTTGTTCTAAAATCTTTGTCTGTTCCTTCTCATCCCCAGCAGGCCAGAGAGAGAGCTGTTAGCACATATTTCTATGGTGCCTCTTCCCAGAGGGGCCCTGGCTTGAGTGCTTTTGGAAACGTGACATTTCCACAGAGGCCCCGGGATTACTCAGCATTCACACATTGCTTCACACTCCATGGGCATGTGTCTTGCCTTCCCCAAATTTAACCTGTCTGGGCCTCAACTTCCTCATCCGGGCTGGGGCAGAATGATGCCTCGAGTCTCTTTCTCTGCCATCTAGGGAGCCACAATCCCACAGGCTGCCTCTGGCTGCTGGCTAAGCACCTGGTCCCCAAGATCAAGTATCCCTTGGTTAGAGAGGCAGCAACTGACTGACTGGAGGAAGCTTCTTGAGGATTCCTGCTTGAGCCTGACTTCTGCGTGGCCAAGAGCACATTTGGCATCCAGCCCCCTCTCTGCCTCCCCTAACTGAGGGGTCTCTGAGCCCCAGTTTTCTCACTCACGTAATGCGGGACGTTCGTACTTACGTCATATAACTGAAGGAGACAACACAAACCACAGGGTCTGGAAGTACTGTGCTCTCTCTACTCGCTTCTGTCTGCCTATTCGAGAGCTCAAAAGATCCAAGGGCAGCGAGTAGGCCGTGCAGGTGGACAGAACAAGTGGGGCACGGGGAC